TTTCTTGACCTTCAGATGTGGGAAGTAAGACTTGTCCCCAAGAGTTCAAACAATATATATGGTACCCCCCCCCTGCACATCTGACACCAAGACATGAAACATGTCTTTACCTCCAAGTTTAGTGTGAACCACACCATAAATATATATATATATATTTGCAACACGTAAGGACTGAACATCTGTAGGACTACAAGTGCATTGGGCACCCAGCGCCAAAAGACGATGATTAGGAGACCTAGTACTAGTGATAGTACTTGGCTTTCTATGGCTTTCTTTATTCTACTGCTACAGGCCTCGGGGTTTTACATGATTCTTTCTGGTTGGCCAGTCCATCTGAGTACAGTAACCCCAACAGCCAGAAGACCTCAGTGGCTCTACATGGCCCACTCACTGATGAACGGGTTCAACAAAACACTTTGAGGAAGAGACTGAACGAGGCAGGACGAACATACACCCAAAGAACCCTGAAACACTGCCTGAGATAACGGTAACCTGCTCCAAATACCTGCCAACGACCCAAGGTGTAGATGGTGGCTGGTGTGAGTTACACTTTCCCATCGGTCCAGTCTTCGACAATATGGGAAAATGATGGAAGATGTGAAGTCTGGAATCTGATTCCAGGGTTACTGTCATTGTTACTGTAGAATAACCAGATTCCAGGTTATTCCATTCCATACGGACCTGCAGAAACCACGGGTGACAGTGCTTCGTCCGGTGACCCGACTTCAGGAGACATACGCCAACCGGCCCTCCGATCCGATCGACTCCTGAGCAGGCACATGTGGATTCGGACCAACTGGTCCACTGGTTACACTGGTGATCCATTCATTAGTTATACAATACTAATACTGATATACTAATACTGATACACTCATGATCCATTCATTACTTATACAGTTATAACTAATATACACAATCTACACCTGGTTATATTCATCACCTATAAATACCTGAAACATGAGTTATACTTGGCTGATGGAAGTGCTATCAAACGCTAAAAAGTTGCCTCCTTGGTAACACCCCAAGGCAAACCCAAGGGAATCACAAATAGACCCTTTAAAAGAAAGCTCACCTTTCCACACTTGGATGTGACTCTTCCTTTTGTTGTTTTGTGACAAACGGCAGACCCTGTCTCCAGACTCCGACCCATTAGGTCCTCATCCGTCTCCAAAGCTTTGCATCTCCGTCTCCGTTCGGCTGCCGGCCTTCCGGAAGTCGGAGGCACCCAGCGCCAGCCGGGAGCAGGGGAAGGGAGAGCTCACCTAGGTCGGTGGGACACGTGGCTACCACGGTCCGTGCTCTGACCAGGGTTGGTGCTGAGTTCAGGAGCTTTCCACATCCCGAGAACGCCTTAAAGGGGGATGTACACAAACATGTAAGTTACACTATCTGCAAGTCATATGCATCTTGATGTGTGGTGTCTTATCATACACTGCCTGGTGCATGGCAAAGGTAGGAGGAGTTTTGCAATCGGAAGTGAATCATCTGCCGCAGTTCGATGCGCCTCGCAAAACCAAACATGTCGCTCAGAAAACATACACGACGGGCATATGTCAAAACCCTGTGTATCGAACGCCCACGAAGATGAACTTCCTCACATGAACAGGATTTTGGGCCCCAGCAAGTGATCTTTGGAAGGTCCGGGAAAAAAACAGATAGTGAGCATTTGATAGCATTTGTTTGTTGCTCGAAACGAGATCTGCCGTGTTGGTCGGGGGTGTCAGAACGGTCATACCGGCACCGGGCCTACGCCGGCCGGTGCCTCTTCTGCCTGCACGCTCCGTTGCTCGAAGCAACTGAAGCCATAGAAACAGGTGGGGCGTCTCAGACGCACCCGGCACCCATCATGGTAAATCACGTGGAATCTCGTCACAATCCAAGCACCATGGCCAAGCACCATTGCAACCCATGGAATTATATGATATCTTGAATTTGGATGAATTTGGTTTGTCCGACATTCTATCATTCATACTGTGCTATTGAAGGAAGGACTATGACAAAAACATCCTGCGCCACTCTGGATGTACAAAAAGGAACCGCCAACAGCAGGATAACCGCTAAGCCGCTAAGTGCAACATGTCTTCCTTCAATTCTTGCAATGGTAGACAACAAAACAAACATGTCCACCCCACTTCTTCAAATTTTCCGAGCCGACAAAGAAATGCAAGATCAAATGACTCTGGAAAGTAAGCCAGGGCCCCCCCAACCCGTTCCAAGAGCAGTTTCTTGGCCTCAAAAAACAGTGTTTTCGGTGAAATGACAGCTAGATTTGTTTATATTTTTTGGGGATGGAACACACTGCACATGGTGTGGGTCTTCTCTGGTTTTCGCTGCAGGGCTTCTTCCTAAGAACCAGTACAAGTAGGGTGGGTCTCTAAGTGACCTGTTGGGGACCTCAAACTGGGGCCTCAAGATCGGATGATACTTGGAAGAACCTGGGCAAGGAACTTTCTGTCGAATGAATCGGGTCCTGTTCGCAAAAGTAATGACTCATATCGCACAATCTTTCATCAGAACCATCAAAGTAGAAATGCGTCTGCTGCAAAATTTATACTACCACCAGCAAAGCACAGGATGTTGTATGGGTTTCTGATGTTGTTCATGACTCAGGGAAGAAACATGCGAACTCTCCGGCTCTATGATGCCCGCTGACTGAAGGTTCTGTTTGTTGGTTCTTGGTCTCAAGACTTGTATAAAGGTTTGTGATCATGTAGGTCTGTGTTTAATAGTTTATGATGCGTTTGTATCATACGGCTTTTCATTGGCTGCCAACTGTGAGAAGAACCGACCAACCAACAACACATCACAACGCAAAGGTCGGTTTGCAGGTTCCCCTCGAAGAACTAACTCCACCTGACTGATCTGCAGGACCATCCACCAAAACGAAACAAAACACCACCGGGTCACCGCCGTAGCAGGGGCCCGAACCAAACCATGAAAAAGCCCAAACCCCTTTTTTGGCTGGGGAAAACGGTCCATTGATGGGACACGTGGGGCCCCTGGTACCACCCTGTTTTGTGGTACCACCGTGTCCGAGGCACCGTATCTGCAATGATGCTGGCAGCATTGGCACCCATCTCCCCTCCGGATCGGCGCAGTCGGGCGAAGTCGAGGCGAATTCGCGCGATCGGAAGCGGGTTTTCATGGACGAACGTTGGGTCGGTGATGCCCATCACCTCCCAGTGGTCACCGCCAGGAAAAGAAAAAACAACAGGTATATATATTAGATATAGATATACATGTATATACAGATGAGCATTCGTTGGAAGGTCTCCGGTCTCCGTATCCAATGCGAAGCGACACTAGACTAGAAAGACCATGGCCCCAAACATGGAGAGATTCACATCAAACAAGGTCACTCTTGTTCTGTCTTCTGAGAGGTCCAGTCGCATGGTGTTTGTTGTTTATTGGGTCACCTGACCTGTCAGTTACACCATGCTCGCATTCGTTGGGGGCCTTGGTCGGGTGGGTCTGGTCACTGGGACAAGCCTCGCACCAGTCGAGCACTCGCCTGTCGAGCCTGTCGAGAGGTGAAGATCTGGAAAAGCCTCGGTGTGGATCACGCAGCGATCTGGATCACTTTCAGTAGAAACACGTCTTCCAAAACAGCCATCTGATAGCCAGGTGTGATGATTCTTTGATATGTGTTGCAATTATTTTAGCCAGGTTCTGCATGAACACCATTCCGATGAATGGTTCATGTTTCGGAGCAACAACAGCGCTCCACAAAGCACATGGTTCGAACACACTCACAACCGTTTGGAGGAACACCAAACAAACAAGAACACCAAATTAAAAAGTCAACCAACATCAGTTGGACATCAGTCAACATCAGTCAACCAACGGACCTCCGGACGTTTGCTCCAGCGAACCTCGGACCGCCCTTCACGGACCGCGCCAGGGGGCCACGGAGCGGCTGATGGTCTTGGTGAGCTCCTGGGCGCGCCGAACCCGGCACGGCGCCACGATGCGATGGTGCGATGGTGCTGATATAAGGGAACTGAACAAAACATCCACAGAAACACATGGGAATCCACTGTGTTTCACAGAGAGCTTTGGGGATGAAAACTCTATTATAGGGTGTTGATCAAATCACCCGATCCGCAACAAGACATGAAGCAGTTCTGCCAAACATGCTGGGGTGCAAAAGATTGCAGGCGGCCTACCGCAGGCCTCATCAATGTGAGTGATTGACCTTCCAACAGCGGGGTTCAACTGCAATTTTTCTGCAGTCTTTCATCGAAAACTGCCGTCATCTGCCGCCCTTCACAAGCCGAAGGGCGGCACCGGACCTGGCATCGGTGTCCGGACGAGCCACGAGCCATTTTCGCAGTTCGCCGCTGAGGATCGAGCGGAGGTGCGGCCGGCCATCCAGTTTCTGCCATGGTCCTGGCGAGATCGGAGATCGGTGCACAGAACCAGACGTCGAAGAGCTACCCAAACACTCCATGGGACTGCCATATATGCCGATCAGTTGGGGTGGTTGACTGGGGGTCAATGTAGGCATATATATATATATATATAGCATGCATGGAGTGTCTGGGCTATGATATCTATAGCTGCTACGTGTGGGGAGAAAGAGTCCCTTTTCACGTTCAGACTTGACTGGTCCTAGAGGTCCTAAAGCTCCGTGACCGCGGTTGTGGGGAGAAAGACATGCTTTGACGCAGCTCGGCCTGGTCCATTCGAGTAGAACTCAGTTGGGCCCTGCTCCGTTGGAGTTCTCACAAGTAACGAGGGTGGATACTAAGGTTTCAGAGGACCTTAGAGGACCAATGGCACAATCCTCAAGTTTGGTGGTTGATATGGACCCCCATATAAAAGACATCTTGGGGTGCCAGTGCCATCGAACCTCTGAAACCACTGTAAAGCTCTGGGAATTCAGTCACGAGAATGATTTGAGTATCTACTGTGGAAGCTGGATGAGGCTTCTCATGGGAGCCTCACGGAGCGTCTCACCCTGTTACAGCAGTCATCCATAGGAAATGATATGAAATTATATAGGAAATCAAATTAAGTGCATTCAATATCATTCAACATTATACCCTGCAGGAGACATAGAGTCTAGAGACTCTGAGGTGGACGCAGGTGGTCCTCCGGGCCCCATCGCGAATCATGACCGGCGCCTGGAAGAACCGGAAAGAATCTTTACCTTCATGACCGGCATGGCCCATGGCTCCTGATTCACGTTCATCCCTTTTCATCCTATCATTCGGCTCAAATGCTAGATTGGAGGCCATCGCTACTACTAGTAGGGTGGAGGCTATCTGAGCAACCAAGTCCCAACAAGTTCCTTCCCGGCTCAGCACGGCACTCCCGGTCCCTCCCGTCCGCATCTAAGCGTCCCCGGTGGTAGAGGACCAAGCTTCGTGGGCGACGCGGATCCTGAAGCCGCTGAAGCGATCACCGTGATCTTCCGTGTGCCTTTAAAGAGGCTTAGCTGAGTTTGGACGTGGAAGGCTGCCATGAGTTTGGCGTGTGAGTGAGTGAGTGAGTGAGTGAGTGAGTGAGGGAGTGAGTGAGGGAGTGAGTGAGTGAGTGAGTGAGGGAGTGAGTGAGTGAGCGCCTTTAGTTCGAAGTCTTCAAAGGTTCTTGTTTCAGTTCTTGGGATGAGTCTTTCCGAATTTTTGCGCGACAGCATGTGGGCCGAAGAAAACTGTGCGCGACAGCATGTCGTCTTGTTCGAAGGTGATCTTTCAGAAGCAGCATGAAAGCGTAGAAGCCAGCCGTCAGGAACCCAAGCTGCAGCTTGGCTCGATTAGGAAACGCCCCCGGCTATGGGGTTAAACTGTTGTATTGGGGATGAATGTTACGTACGGAACTCAGGCAAGCTTTTGGGGAACTCACTTCAAAAGTCAAACTTGTGTATTTTGTATTGTTTTCATTATTATTAATGACCAGTCTTTTTTCGGAATAGCTAGCCTAATTAAAGCATCGGGTAATATCTCGTACTTAGGCATGGTGGAACATTCACTGTGACGCTTGTCAATGCATAGTACGTATATCGGTCTTTGGTAGCTGTGATCCATAACAAGCGCGAAATGCTCACCCTAACAATGGAACTGTTGAGCAGCTCGAGACGGAACCGCTCAGCATCTTTTGACAAACTCTTTCACAAGTGCTCATTAATGTTGGATCTTAATTAGTAAAGGGCCCCCCCTCCTCTAAACAAATGGGAGGGCCTCTATAATACACTACCACCAAGAGACATCTGGGTTCCTGGGAGGATTCCTTCTGTAGTTGATTGTAGTATTCATTTTTCTTTCTCGGGCTCTTTGTAATTAGATATTCTCAGCAACCCCTTTCCTCTGCAGCCTCAGATCTTCAGCAAATCTTGAGGACTATTACCTTGGAAATTTGTTTAGGAGCAATGTATACATATAAAGGATTGATTAAGGAATTGATGGCTTCGGGAAGCTGTGAGTTTTAAAGAACTACAGAAACCTATGATTACAAATATATAATACTCTCAGCAAGCCAGCCACTGGCTTAGTAGTATTAAGTTATTTGTATATGTCTTCAATGTCTTCTGATGAAAAAACGTTGCACAACTGAGAACCCTTAAAACAAATTTACTATTGATGATCAGGGGCCTTCCTGGTCTACTACCTTGAAAAAATGTTTAGGAGCTATCTATATATACAGGATTTATTAAGGAATTGATGGCATTGGGAAGCTGTGAGTGTTGAAGAACTACAAACACCTATGATTACCTATAATACTCTCAGCAAGCCAGCCACTGGCTTAGTAGTATTGACATTT